CTCGGCCGTCCGGCCAGTTTGTAACCCAGCTTAAGGTCCATCTTTAGGAAAACTTCAACGGTAAGGATTTTTAAAAGCAAATGTGATGGTGTTGCTCAGGATTTTGGTCATCTCAAAGATGTTATCCTTCTGTCCCTGCAGTGTTTGTGCCTTTCCCCAACATACGAGCTGGCACTTCAAACAGGAAAAGTGATTGAGCAGATGGGAAGGTTTTATCCGGAGCTGAAACTCGCGTACGCTGTCCGAGGCAATAAACGTGAGTAAGGTGAAACGCTACCAACAGACTGAATGAGAAAATGATTGGCAGGTGCAATGCAGTAAATGAACAACAGAGCAGTCAGGTGGTGAAAGAGGCTCGCTCAGAGGGGCAGAGCGTTTCGCTGTCTGCACAGCTGTCTTAGGAAAGCCTTCCTTTCTGTCTCGGCAGTGGAGAGAGGTCAGAAGATCTCCGAGCAGATTGTAATCGGCACGCCCGGCACCGTGCTGGACTGGTGTTCCAAACTGAAATTCATAGATCCCAAGAAAATCAAAGTGTTCGTTTTGGACGAGGCTGATGTGATGATCGCCACTCAGGGCCATCAGGACCAGAGCATCCGCATTCAGAGGTGAGGACTCGGCGTACGTTGCCCGAGGTGGTTTTTGTTCCTTTCCATGATCGCTGTTCCGTAACGCAGGGACAGCGGGGCTAGGTTCTTGCCTGGTGTCTTCGCTGATGAAACAACAAGATTAAAATGATATATTTAGCTCTAATCCAGATGCTTAATAGAGGCACAGTGTCGGGGGATGACAAGCAGTTTCATTTTCTTACAGAATAAAAAGCCTGTCCCTGGAGCAGGTTTTATTCATTTTTAAGAATGCAAGTCTGGATATCACTGGTCCATGAGGGAACGATCAGGTGTTGGTAAGATTAGCATCAGTCTTTCCAGCCACTGACATAAACTGGTTCTGAGGTTACTGTTCTGCTCTGCCCGTAGCATTATTCCCATCAGGATATCGGGGGGCGACAGCGTGGCGTGGGAACCCTGCCCATTTTGCTCTTTCTTGCAGAATGCTCCCCAGGGACTGCCAGATGCTTCTGTTTTCAGCCACTTTTGAGGATTCTGTGTGGAAGTTTGCTCAAAAAGTTGTTCCTGACCCAAACATTATCAAACTGAAGCGAGAGGAGGAGACACTGGACACTATTAAGCAGTATTACGTTCTGTGCAATAACCGAGATGAGAAGTTCCAGGCTCTCTGTAATATCTACAGTGCTATCACCATTGCCCAGGCCATGATCTTCTGCCACGTGAGTCCTTTTGGGGAAGTTAATCCCAACGACCCCGTCGGTATCTGCTGTTGCTAAAAATCTGGCCAAGCATGCTTTTCAGAAAGAAACTGAGAACACAAATTGCCCTTTTCTTTGGCTTTTCTGGCTCCCTCTTTGAGGGAGATCTTGAGCGCTGCAGTAGCACTAGCTGGTTTGTTTCTCTGGGTTTGTCCATCCAGGTTGTTTTTTTATTCTTGAAGTCCTCTGAAGCAAAGATCAGAGTAATGCCCAGTTTTCCAAAACACACAACTACTGGAAAAAAACCCAAACCCCTGAGGTTAGAAAATGGGATCAAAATAGGGCAGAATGAGGGATGGGGGAAGTCTTGTAGTTCTGCAGCCGATACACAGCTTTTCCTGGGACCCTGTTTCCCTCGAGTGGTTGGTGAGATACCTCTGGGGTCTCCCTGGGAATCGCGCTGAGACTTCCTGGTTTTTTTTTTCTGGAAGCCACCATAATAACTCTTAGGAAAAACCCAGTGCTGACAGCACCAGAACAGCCACGTAAAGCTAGCTCAGACAGGGTAAAACCTGTGTTTGGAGTCTGCTGCAGCAGCCTGGCTGTCTCGAGGTGTAACAATGCCAGAGCTCAAAAAAACCCAACTAATTGGAATTAATTCAAGGCTGCGTAGAGCCTCTGTTGGACTTTACAGCTACATTCAGCTCAAACCTTCCGTTTTCCAAGCTGAGTAGTTTTGTTTACTTCTGAGTTTTTAGCTTACGTATGTCATCCCTCGCAGAGCGAGAGCTGAGGAGCCGGGCACAAAGAAGACACGTACTTTTCTTAACGAAGGGTTCCTCTGGTGGCAGATACTCGCTTTGCTCTTCCTGATACGAGAGCTGGGAGCGCAGTTTGTGATGGAGCAGGGGGTGGGCACGGCGCTTGGGAGCTGTTTCCTTTTGGGATCTCAAAACTGAGCAGCTGCGGAGCTTCCAGTCACCCCCCGCCCTGGGAGGTTTGTTCCCAGTTCTTCCTCCCAAAGCCGGGCCTCGCTCTGTGTTTCAGACTCGGAAGACGGCCAGCTGGCTGGCGGCGGAGCTCTCCAAGGAAGGCCATCAGGTGGCATTGCTCAGCGGGGAAATGATGGTGGAACAGAGAGCCGCGGTGATAGAGCGTTTCCGAGAGGGCAAAGAAAAGGTGCTGGTGACCACAAACGTCTGTGCCAGAGGTAGGGCATGGCAGAGCTGGGCCAGGGAGGGGCAGAAGCAGCAGTTCCGAAGTTAACGTGCTGCTGGCCAGCTTGCAGAAAGAATTCATGTCCTCAAGTGTGCCAGTCTGGGCAAAATAGGGTCCTTAAAGTAATTTCTGGACTTCTCAGCTGCTGACCGTACCTGTGCGTATAAAGATGCCTGTGGGCTAACACGGGATGGCTTGTAGGCTTCCCGCAGCTTGAGATGGAAAAGTCCATCCTGTGAGAGTTTTGTGCTTCTGGCACCAAGCCTGGCTCGTACCGCTGACCCTCCACGTTTAAAATAAACATGTGCTGAAACGTAGAAATCTGAAAAGTACCGAACCCCAGTAGGAATTTGTGTTGCAATTTGACATCCTGGAACAGTTAAGACAACGTAGTACTTGGAGGAAAAAAACCAAGAGGCCTTTACAGCTTTGGAGAGGAAGAGAGAGTTTCCAAAATACTTAAGTGCTGGTTAAAGCGTCTCCAGCTGCTTTTCCGTGGGCCATTTCAGTGGGGTTCTCTGGTGTTACAGCTAGACAGGTTTTACTTCCAAGTACCTGGTGGAAAAGATCCATTTCAGGGTTTGAGACTGGCTTTTAACTCTTCACTGAATGCGGAGGCAGGCAGGCAGCAGCTCGCTGAAAGCTGTTAGAAATTCTGCTGTTGGAAGACCCGGAGATGGTGACCAGACTGCCGGCAGGGCAGGCCAGAGGAGGCTGTTCCTGCTGGGAAGTGGCTTAATTGTAGTTGTGTGACCTGATGCTTTCTTTTTACCAGGGATCGATGTAGAGCAGGTCTCTGTTGTTATCAATTTTGACCTTCCTGTGGATAAAGATGGAAATCCAGATAATGAGACTTACCTGCACCGGATCGGACGCACCGGTCGCTTTGGGAAGCGAGGACTAGCTATTAACATGGTGGACAGCAAGCACAGCATGAATATTCTCAACAGAATCCAGGAACATTTCAGTACGTACTCTTAGACTTTCTTCTTTCTCTGAAATGAGATGTTATTTCGGCAGAATTGAGACTAGTTGTACACTGAGCAGGTATTTGTTGAGCCTTAAACTGACCACAGAAGAGCACGTGCGCTGCGTTTTGTGTCACGTCCCTTAGGATGATGATGGGAGCAGAAATGAGGCAGGTTGTTCGCTGGCTGCCTGGATAGTCCTTAAAAGGGACGTGCCAGAGATGGGTAACGTTCGAGTGTCCGGATGGGCCTTTGATAAATGAAAAAGGGTTTCTGTTGTACAACCTGGCTGAACATTTCATGGATAAACCTGAACTCCTCCAGACCAGCTTTCCCTTCTCTGCTCTGTGTTACGAAATCTGACTTATTTCTCCTCTTTTCCAGGCAAAAAGATAAACAAATTGGATACTGATGACTTGGATGAAATTGAGAAGATAACTAACTGAAGTACAGCTGCTGGAACTGGTGTGTACCCTGCTGTGGAAGCTCTCCCACTACAATTGGATCCGCGTTCAGATTGGCATGCCTCTCAGCTAGTCCCAGGAGGGACTCTTTAAGATATGAGTACACAAAAATTACCTCATTTTAAAAATTGCAGTTGGACTTCAAATTGTGCAACTATGGGGAGGAAGAGGAAATGTTTACAGAAGCTTTTAACATTTCTTAGTTTAGCCTTAAAGTGGGAAGATCTTTTGAATTCTAAGAAATATACTTGCCAAAAACATGGGCAATATGTAATTATGTAAAACAAATTTAACAAAGGAAAAAAAGCTTTATTGCCTTTAATTGGAATGCAGTTCAGCATTAACCTGATCCATTAAAATTCAACAAATATATAATGGACATAAGTAAAGGAAAAAAAAACAAAAAGAAGAAGAAAAAAACCAAACCACACAAAAAAAACCCTGAACAAGGCAGCTGATTTTTGGCTAAATACTCAACTTGTACAAAATAGGACGTCATTCTCTTTGGCGCTCCCCTGAGCTCTTTAAGACTCATTTCTGGCTTCCTGATGGATTTGCCCTGCTTTTCCTTGCGTAAATGGCCCTAAGGATGTCTCCAGCAGCTCATGCTCCCAAGCGCAGGTGCCGTGTGGCTTTTCCTGGGCAGTATTTTCTTTTCATTTGTCCTCGGGTTGTTAGAAGGGCCGCTCCCCGTCCAGCGGGGCGGTGGTGGCAGTGCTCAAGTATGTGCTCTAGACCTTCATCTGAAGGGTTTAACCTCACCG